TGAGCCACCCAGGCGCCCCACCTATAGTCTAATTTTAACACAAGTAGCCATTGTGATCCTTTTAAAACCTATATCGTATCAAGTCCTCCTCTATCCTAGGCCTCCAAGAGCTCCAGTTTTGTCTCAGAGGAAAAGCCAGACGGGCTGCCTACGATCTGCCCCACCCAGGTCGATGGCAAACTTCTCTGATCTCATCTTTTACTCCTCCTCCCCACCCCGACTCCCCAGCTCACTTTGCTCAAGGCTGCACAGGCTTCCCTGCCGTTCACTGTCCACATCTCTGCTCAGGTATCAGGGAAGCCTACCTAGTTCCTCCATGCGAAAAGGCAACGCGCCCTCTCCACCTTTCTCTCCTATTTCTCCTTACCCTGCTTGATTTCTCCCCATAACATTTATCACCATCTGATGCATTATATGTCCTCACTCGACTGTTACCTGTCTTCTATTGTAATGAGGTAAGGGGTTTTGTAACCCCTAGAACAGTGCCTGACACATAAAGGCATTCAATAAATACTTGTTGAATGAATGAATAAAATACTGCAAAAATCCTGAAACATCAAAAAAAATAGAGGACTGGTTACATAAACTGGGATGATGCAGTGAAGGGTCAGACAGGTAAGACAGAATCAAAAGCCTAGATGTGTGGAAAATAAAACTAGAATATGGTTTTGTATTTCATAGGAGGAAACTCTGGGAATACCAATTTCTAAAGAGGTAACAGTTATTTTTCTTACCCAACTGGTTTCTGAAACCATAGGAATGGGAAGTTTCTCATCATAAAATGTGTTTTACATTTATCAACTGCTTCTCTGGTCTCGAAGAGGTTTTTCTGTGAACATGGGTGTCTCCAAGGGCTAAAAGGATTTTTAAAAAGCCATCTATTCTTTGCAGACTATATTTGTCTGCTGGAGTAGCCATAAGAAAATGACACAGACTGCTTGGTTTAAACAGCAGAAATTAATTTTCTCACAGTTCTGAAAGATGGAAGTCCAAGGTCAAGGTCCAACAGGGCTCAATTTCTGGTGAGGACTCTTTCGGGCTTGCAGATGGCTGTCTCCTTGCTGTGTCCTCAGCTGGGCTTTCTTCAGTGCAGATTCATCGGGAAGAGAGAGGCTGAGAGAGAGCATGCATATGCGAGTGAGCCCAAGCTCTCTGGTGTCCCCTTTTCTATAGACATCAATCCTATTGGATTAAGGCACCATTGTTATGACCTTATTTAACCTTAATTACCCCTTAAATGCCCTATCTCGTCTTTGTAGCCCCAGCATTTAGTACCAGATACTTGTATTTCTTAGTCAAAAATGTTTTAATCAAGGAAAGCTTGAAGTTGGGGCAGCAGTCATATATTTTTCCATTCTATCTATCTATCTATCTATCTATCTATCTATCTATCTATCTATATATATCTATCTAATCTTCCATCCATCCAAGTTATTAAACCAACTTAACTCAATGAGGTACAAATTAAGAAATAGTTATAGTTTCCTCTAAATGCTGTCCCTAACATGGCCATTTAAAATTCCCCCTTGCCTCCCATAACATATCTTATCACCTCTTGGGTAGATTCTGTAACTTCCTGGTCAATTTCAGTGATTAAAAATCCATTCAGTCTATAACTCTAATTTCATATCCAAATAAAAGATTTCCTTTTTTCTGTCATCTGCTAGCATTGTGTTTTTTTTTTAAAGATTATTTATTTATTTATTTATTTGACAGAGAGAGACACAGCAAGAGGGAACACAAGCAGGGGGAGTGGGAGAGAGAGAAGCAGGCTTCCCGCGAAGCAGGGAGCCCGATGCGGGGCTCGATGACCTGGGCCCATGACCTGAGCCGAAGGCAGACGCTTAACCGACTGAGCCACCCAGGAGCCCCTAGCATTGTGGTTTGAAGGACCTAAAATGGGGAGGGAATATGGGCTTCTCTTAGTTCTCATTTTTCTACCTTAGGTGAAAGAAAGCAGTTTACCTCTGGGCTTCAGGTCCTTCCTTCCTTTTCGGTTGCAAGCTTCTCCAGGGAGTGGACATAGGGAGGAGTTAGAGGGATTCAAGCGGCCATCATTGTAGTCTTCCTTGGGCTGTTTAGCACTAACTGTTGGACCCACACTACCTGGCCATTGACAGTAGTCTCGCCATGGCAGGTTTTCAGATACTGGATTTCCAGAGGAGGCACAGATGTGAGTTTTGTTTTTTTTTTTTAAAGATTTTATTTATTTATTCGACAGAGAAAGACACAGCGAGAGAGGGAACACAAACGGGGAGTGGGAGAGGGAGAAGCAGACTCCCCGCCGAGCAGGGAGCCCGATGCGGGACTCGATCCCGGGACTCCAGGATCATGACCCGAGCCGAAGGCAGTCGCTTAACCAACTGAGCCACCCAGGCGCCCCGTGAGTTCTTTTTTTTTAAGAAGACTTTATTTTTAAAAGTAATTTCTACACGCAACATGGGGTTCGAACTCACAACTCCAAGATCAAGAGTTTCATGCTCCACTGACTGAGCCAGCCAGGCGCCCCTCGTGTGAGTTCTTTAGGGACCTTCCTGGTCCACAGTGTCCTGTTTCAATTCTTCCGACTCTCCTCAGCTCTTGCACTCAGTGGTAGACCCATGGGCTCTTGTCACTGGGGGATTTTTTTGCCTTGTAGTTATTTTTTGTGTGGTGGTGCCGCATGCTGGCCCAAGCCCAGCTAGTTCTGTGGTGCTCACTTGGCCCACCAGAAACTCATGTTCTCATCAAAGCAGAGGTGATTGTTGAGCTACACCATAAGCCTGTTTGTCTTGCCTTCATTCACCAATTCTTTTTTCCTGTTCAGACAGACTTTAGGAAGATGGGCTAGCCTGTGTCCTAATTTGATGTACAGCTAGAAAATGAGGTGCTGGTTTTCCTTTCATGCAGGTACCCCCAGACTTTGCAAGTAATTCTCTTGGGGCCCTTCTCACTTGGCATTTTGGAAAAGGTTAGGAAAAAGCCACAGCAGAACTTCTCAGGCCAACAATTTATGACTCCAGTAATTCCCATTTTCCTCTTCCTTCTCTGGCTTATATGGATTCAGGGTCATTGTGGTTATTGAGGGACCGGTGTGGCTGATTTAGCATCTGCAAGTACTGACTGCTTCTTTGTCCTCAGCTTGGACCCTGGCTATCAGTTTTGGGTCAACAGGGAAAGTTTGACCCAAGTTCAAGTCACATATCCTCTACAGAACTTTGCATTTAACTCTTCTCTTTTGGAGGGCGCTTCTAGAGCTTATGTCTTACTTTACACTTACTAGCATCCTATGAGATGTAGGACAGCTATCCCCCATCTTGCTGATGAAACTGAGACAGTGACAGGCAATCTAGGATTAATTAATTGAAAACAAATTCTTCTGTAACTGCAGTCAAGCCTGTAACCCTTCTCAATTGTTTTTGCAAAATGTTGCACCTTTTACAACTCCAGAACATGGCCTTGTTCTTTCAGTTATAACTTTGTCTGCTGGAGAAGTAAACAAAAACCCTTGGAGCTGCAAGCTTCCCTCACCTGACAACCAGTTTCTTGCTTTCCCAAGGCATGCAATAATTAAGGAGCATTCATGTTACATTCTATATGTGAAATCTAAATCCCTGTTCCCTTGGACCTGACGGTGTTCCTCAAAGTTTTTTAATAGGCATTTCCAAAAGACCTGGGAAAATTTATGCTTAAATACAACCTCCTCAGGCCTGCTAAGATGCTCCAAAATTCTTGCATTAAGCATGCAGACTACACACAGAGATGCTACCCTATATAAATTGCAAGGTAAGGTAAATGAATTAGTGAATTAAAAATATAAACATACTCCAGGGGTGCCTGGCTGGTTCAGGCGGTAGAGTGTGTGACTCTTGATCTTGGGGTCATGAGTTCAAGACCCACATTGGGCTTAGAGCTTCCTTAAAAAAAATACACACACACACACACACACAAACGTACTCCAGACCATTGTACTTTTAGCTTAGTCCAGTCATGCTTATCCCCTGGTTTCCCTTCTAGAGTTAAAAAGGGAGAGTGGTAAAAAAGCTTATATTTATAGCTGCCAGGCACTGATAATTATATTCCATACATTTTCTCTTTTAATTATCATAAATACCCCACAAGGTAGGTATTATTTTCTTTGTTCTACAGACTAATTAGACAAATGAGGTATAGAGAAGTTAAGCTAACTTAACCAAGATTACCACTGAGAGGTACTGAATTCAAATTATATAGAAAAATATTCAAATATAATTGATTTCCAAGTGTGGGCTACCCCAGCACAGAGGAGAAAGACTGAGAGATCAAGGGGACAGAGTGGAGGAACCATTCTGGTATGCACTGAGAAAAGCAGTTATAACCCTTACAATAAATATTTAATATGAACATACTTTACATCACATAGATATTCATAAAATATACTTCTTAGAAGGACTTTCAAATTCCAATTTGAACTTCTTCCCCAAAGCATGGTGTTTCTTGAAGAACTCTCCTTTGTCCTTCTCAGTGCTTTTCTTACATCAAATACTGTTTTAGCTGTGATAGGTCTCTATATAGTGACATCTCCCTGCACTCATGTCCCCCTGTATGTGATACCACCACACTTTCCATCAAGAGACTCAATTTATCCCTCTGCTCACTTGAATGTCTGGTCTTATAACTTGCTCTGACCAATAGAAAGTGGTGGAAGTAACCCTGTACCTGTTCCAAAACTTGGGACTCCTGAGGCCTTGGCAGCATCTACCTTTGCCCTCTGGGGAACGCTATTCTGAGACTGCCAGGCCATAAAGCAGCCCAGGATGAAAGTGAGTTTGGAGAGAGAGGTTCAGGCAACCCAGCTTTCTCAGCTGAGCTCAGTCCGCAGCTGAGCCACCAGATGAATGCATCTTTCTGAAAAATATTGTTATTTTAATCCCTAAGTCTTAGGATGGTGGTTCTTCCAAAGCAATAGATAAACCAGACAAAGTGGGACCAGAAGTACAAAATAATAGATTAATCTGACAGAAATTGGTAAAGTATAAAGCAAGAGATGAACGTAACAGAAATTAGTATTGTTCTAACAAAACCCAAAGCACATGGCAGTCTTCAGGGCCAGGCAGCAGGTGAATGCTGGAAAGGGTAGAGAGGAGACTGTTGGTGCAAGCTAGGAAAGCAGGATGGAAATTGCTCCTGGAGACCAGAGGACAGAGGCGGACCAATTAACTGTTGCCTGTGGTACTTTGGAAGGTAGTGAATGTACATAATGAACCTGTTGATCTCACTAACATAATTTCCTTGTAGAATATAGAAAGTAACAATTAGCTTCTTTTAGCTGTCTTTGATGGGAGGTGGCATTTTTCTATTGCCGCCATAAAAAATTATAACAAACTCAGCAGTTTAAACAGCGTAAATGTATTATTTTATAGTTCTGTCAAAACCCTGAGACAGTAAAAATTAAAACAAGATCAGTAGAATAGTATTTAGAGTTTATTGTACACAAAAGAATAGTTCATGAATGGGGTTCCTGGGTGGCTCAGTCTCTTAAGCGCCCAAGTCTTGGTTTTGGCTCAGGTCTTGATCTTAGGGTCCTGGGATCTAGCCCGGGGCAGGCTCTGCGCTATGCAGGGAGTCCGCTTGAGGATTTCTCTCCCTCTTCCTCTGCTTCCCAGCCCCAAATAAATAAATAAATCTTTAAAAAAAAGAAAAAGAAAAAGAATAGTTCACGACTGGGAGTCTTCAAATCCAACACTGAGATGAAGCTCAGAGGCATGATGTTATTAGATGGCTTATAAGGTGGAAATAAGGACGTTGCTTAATCTTTACAATGATTGAGTATCACAATGGAAATCGACCATGAAAAGAGGCCTCTGAACCTAACTTTCTTTGGGCAGAAAGCAGGGGGCAGGCCGAAGGAGAAGAATATGGGAGGGACATTGCTTGAGACCTGGAGCCTAGATCTGAAAAGGTACCATAGCTTCCACAATCACCCTCTCACCCTCTTCAAACACTGCTCAGAGACTACCAGGCATGTGAAGAAGCCTGGAATGGAAGACTATATGGAGAGATGGAGAGAGAACCCTCCCGCCTTCCTCCCTGCCTCCCCTCCCCTCCCTTTCCAAGCCGTCCCTGCTGAGCGAGCCCCTAGCCAATCTGCCAGCTGAATGAAGCTTCCTGAATATAAGCCCAGGCAAGAAAGATAGAACAGCCACACAACTAATCTATAGAATCATGAAAAATAACAAATCATGTTGTGTTAAGCCACTGGGTTGTGGTATGGCTCAGTAGTAGATAGCTAGAATTGTAGCTTAAGTAGCTCAAGTAGTAAGATGTAGCTTTTACTAGCTCACACATCATCTGTTTATATTGTACTATTATTCCAGAAGACACATTACCTCATCCCCTGAGTAGAGATGGAAACATATCATAATCATAAAATGCCTTGGATCGAGATGAGTATTATTTAATGTTTATTGAGTAACCATAAACTATTGTAGAATTTTAAAGCTAGAATGAAGTGATACTCACCTAGTAGAAGTTTTTCCTTTTTATGAAATTTCGGATTGCTGCAAATATAATCTCAATATACCTTCTACCTTTCATAGTGTGAGTAATTTCCATTAGCTGTGTCACCCTCTAATGAGTTCTGAAATGGATAGAGAAGCCATATAAAGAACTAAAGAAAGAAAAAAAAAATCCTTTATACCTGGGCAATAAAGAAACCCTAGTTGTAGAGAAATAATGGAACAATAAAAACACTGGTCAGATGGCAAAACTGTCATCTTCATAAAAAAATCAAGACATGCTCAATGCTTTTCCTGCTAACAATTTGCTTTAGTAAGATTCTGGTACTGTGTAGGATTTCCTCATACACTCCTTTGCTTATTTATTTGGCAAATATTTATCCAATCCTTCTTAACGAGCCAGGCATTGCGTTAGATACTGGAGACACAATAGTGAATAAGTTAGTTACAGTTTCTGACTCACAAAGTCAGTTGGGAATAAAGGGCAGGTGGATAATGGAAATGTAAATGCACTGTTAAAATAGTGTGATAGGTGACAGGACAGGACACCATAGTCATAGGATTTTGCTGATTCTTCTCAAGTTTCTTTAACTCAATAGCTTCCAGGCTGCAAATGTAAAAAACAAAAACAAAACAAAACCAAAAAACCTGCTATTCATTTTGTAAATTGTTCATTTTTTGCAGGGAGTGCTATATCTTGACCCCTCACTTTTCAGGTTTCTGGAGATCTATAAATGCCCTTGGATTATATCATATGGGGATCCTTATATGGTGTTGGGTCTTGATACTACTGACCCATAAAAGATGCTGCATAATAGAAAACACTATTCTTTGATTTTCTCTTAGGATTTCCAGCTGATGCCTAAATGGTTTTTTTTTTTTTTTTTGGAAGAAAGAGTTATCTTCAGAAAGCAAAATGAAGACCCTTCTTAATGTAATATGAGAAGCAGTTTCAAATGTCTAAAGTCACCTTTCCTCATGACCCTTTAAAATCTACAGCTGGGACTACCAGCCTCATTTTTTGTTTGCTTTTGACTGTGCTACCACACAGACATCTGGAGGATCAAGACCATTGCTCTACTGATTCATCTTTGTATACCCAGTAAGCACACCATACCTGTTTGTTGAATGACTCAAAAATCATTGAAGAAGAATGATCTTTTGAGACCTTCACTGTTTTCCTATTGCCTTTTTTGTCAGGCATATTCAAAACTTTGATTTCTAAACCGTTTTAGCAAACCACCAAAATAAGAAAAGAAAAACATAAACATGAAAACATGCCGGTAACTAGCTTTTTTGTTTTTTACTCTCTTTTACATGCGAAATATTATTTTAAAACACTAGCTAAAGAAAATATTTTTTTAATTGTCTTACATCATTCATAAACTTCATTTTTGTATAAGGTGTCAGGGACAATATAGTCCAAAACAAAACTAAAATTTTGTCAAATTAACCTTGTAAAAGCCAACAAACTCTGCATCGTTTCAATAAGGTACTGTTACTAGCATGCCAAACACCTACTAAAAAACAAGGACAAGCAAGGAATGGCACCGCTCTTGCAGAAATGTATTTCCTCTCAGACAACAGATGTTGAGAAGTGATTTTCTAACAAAAGCAGCAGCCCCCAAGAAGGAATTGCTAACCCTGGGAATCAGCTTTCTTCGATAATTGCTGCAAAGTTGGACAGCACAGAATCCCTTCTCCTCCCCAGCTCCAGGAGCTAAACTTGAGATCGGTGTTTGCTGCAGTTTTTCTGTAATCAAGTCACAGGCCTTTTCTCTTACCTCCTTTCAGGTTGCTCTTTACCGTTCTTCTCCCTTTTCTCCTTAGTTAAGGAAATGTAAAGTACAAAGAGGGGAAGAGTTGCAACCCCTTCCTCTCGCCTCCTCCGCCCCTCTTTCTGTTACTCCGCACCTTCCGTTCCCCGCCTTTCCCGAGCAGCCCTACTGTGTTCCCCGGCTCCTCCTCCTCGCCTTCTCCCAGCCTCCCCTCTCCCCTCCCCTCCCCCAGACAGGCTTCCCAGCGCGCCGCCCTTCCCCCGCCTGCCGATCCCGCACCCTCCCCTCCCCCAGCCTCCGGCCTTGTGACACATCCCGGGTCCTTCCCGAGGCGGCAGCAGCTGCGGAACAGCGCTAGCCTCCACCTCCGCGGGAGCCGCAAGCCCCGGCTCAGCCTCCTCGCCGACCCCGCGGCTGCTGCAGCAGTCATGGCTGCTGATGGGGTGGACGAGCGCTCGCCTCTGCTGTCAGCATCCCATTCGGGAAATGTCACCCCTACGGCCCCGCCGTACTTACAGGAAAGCAGCCCCAGAGGTAAGGCCAGCATGGACCTTTCTACTTTTGTAAGGAAAAGCCTAGAATGTTAAAGACCCGGGAGCTCTAGCTCCGAGGTGGAGGCGAGCCTCTCACTTGGGCTGGGAGACAGGGATGCTGACTGCGCCTTACCGAGCCAGAGCCTGCTTTCCTGAGAGCTTCCCGGCAGGGCTTTTGGTGGGGTAGGGTGAGGTGTGAGCGTGAGTGTGTGCGAGTGCGTGTATTTCACCCCTTCTCACCCTCTGGGGTGTGTGTGTCTGTGTGTGTATTTCACCACTTCTTACCCAGGGGTACAGGATGTGACATGAATTTCCCAGGCTGGGCTTTACCGTTTTAGAGCAGCCCCTAAGTGCAGCTGGAGGAGGGGCAATCTTTCACAATCATTCATAAATCCTTTCAGGTTGCCGAGAAACCCCTAGTACTGCTCACCTTGGGATCTGTCCTTGAAAGGGCTTAGCTTGAAAAATATGCATATCCTGCTATCCCCCCGACCAGGGCTCTGTTCTCAGGGAATTGTCTTAACAAAAGGAATAGAATTAATCAATATTCCTAATATGTCCGAAATTCCTGCCCTTCCTTATTACTCCCCTTTCTTAGGAGTGTTAGCTTTAGTGGTGAATGAAGAAGAATAGAAAGGAAGATGTAATATTTTTGATTCGTATCTGGGTGAGATGGAAATGAACTTACTTCTAAAAGTAACCCAAGTTAATCCTGCATGTATTTCTATTTATTTCACTTCTCAAGATGGAATCAAGAAAGATTTGATAGCTGTGGGATCTGAAGAAGTGTGTGTGTGTGTGGGGGGGGGTTATTTAGCAAACTATTCAAAGATTTATCTTTGTTCCAAGCCTTTTAGTGGCTTTCTATAGTAGAAAGAAGGTGGAGTCAGGATTTATAGAAAAGGGAAGGCAAGACTTGAAAAAACCACTCAGTTATGAAAAGAATGGTCAGATATGGCACTTGCAAATGTAGCTTAAGTGCGTCTCTCTCTCTTTTTGGCTGAATATGAGAGGAGTTAAAAACCCAAGGAGACAAATGTTAATGCTTTTGAAAATATAGGCAGATCATGTTTCTTGTAACACAACTTTTTCTAAGTTCAAGTCTGGAATTGGAGCAGTTGTAGAGCAGGTTGAACTTGTTTAGTATTTAAAATTTCCACTTCATGCATTACAACTTGAAAAGGAACAATGTAGGTCTTAATCAACACCTAACAAGAAGCAGGACTAAGGAAAAAGATGTTTAGCTCTGAATAATTCAGTGTGATCAATGAGTTGAGAAATAAGGTGCAAAATGGAACAGAGATTCACCTACAGAAAACCCACAAGTCATGTTTGTATTAAACTTGTGTTAGAGGACATCAGTTGGGGGGATTTCCTTTAATGCACAGATTTGATATTAATATTTTACTGTTATCTAAATTGGATGGTCTAGAATGAGTTTAAATACTTACAAATGAATGTTTCAACTTCATCAAATCACCTTTTTAGGCAAAATATTTGCCATTTATTAAAAGACAAAGTTTGGATTTAAGCAACTGTCCTATAACAGATTTTCATGCCCTCTATCTTCTATCTTTGTTTTTGTATTTTTAGTCATAGTGGCTAAATTATTCCCCCAAAATATTCATGCTCATGGACCTGCTTATAGATTTATTTATCATTTGCTGTATATTTGTCTAATCTGATAAGACCCCCTCAAACTACACAGTAAGGTACAAATTGCAGTTCAGCCACTGAGAAAAAGAAGTTTCATTCCGGATAGCTAAATAACTGAAGAAATTCAATGTATTAAAAAACAAAATTCAATGAGTAAATTTTAAAGATCTTATGGGGTTTATTTAATGATTCATGACTCTATAGCATCCAATCTAACAGAAAGGAGCTTCAAAAAGGTGTACTAAATGAAAGACTTCCGTAGGCAGAAGGGAGTGGGGGAAAGGAAGTTATCCTGGCAAAAAGTGGATTGGTTGTGGCAAGATAGATAACTTTCCTTTAGAGCATGGCAGTGGTCTATCAGGCAGATGACCTCACTAGTGCTAATAAGGCAGTTCCTGACTGACTTTAAGATTCCATTCCTGGAAGAAACCAAAAGTGTAATTAAGTCTCTGTTTAGTGATGTGGAGCTTAGCATGAGTGCCTCCATTTTGAGCCTGTTCTCTTGTTTTTAACAAATGATTTAGCAAAAAGCCATTTCTGCCTTATGGTAGAATATAGTTTTGTTTGTTTGTTTGTTTTTAAACTGGTGAATAAGACAGGTTAGATAATTAGAAACACTAATTTCATGTGGCATAATACCTAGGAAGCAAGAAGCATAAATGAGAAGTAAAGACATTTTATGTATTGGCATTTTTGTCAGAATATCTTTTCTTAAATAGCAAATAAGCATCTTCATAAATATTTTGAGTAATACGTAAGATCTGATTCTAGGAGACCAATGTTATTTACTTATTGGCTGATTTAATGGGCAGCGTGATGCTCCAGAGACTGTTCTAGGTTAACAAGACCGACCAAACCCATCCCTTCTTGGAGCCCATGTGGAAGTGGGAAAAAAGAATAAAGAAACACAGGGCTGAATTATTATTGTAGGAAACACTCCGTCGTTAGACCAGATGTTTTCAGTAGTTTACAAGAATTAGAGTTGAAGGTTGGGATTTAAAAGACCAGAATAGAATGTACTTTTTGATAATGAACTTTGGTTTATGATACTGTTCATAATTACACACTTTTTTTTTAAAGTAGTTAAGAGCCATAACTAGTGAATATTTTCTCCAATCAAACTCTTTGCTATTTGTGTCACCATCTAAGGACAGGAATGTTAGCTCTTACTCTGAGATGAAATATTCCATTTTAGGGGCACCTGGGTGGCTCAGTCGTTAAGCGTCTGCCTTCGGTTCAGGTCATGATCCCAGGGTCCTGGGATCGAGCCCCGCATCGGGCTCCCTGCTCCGCGGGAAGCCTGCTTCTCCCTCTCCCACTCCCCCTGCTTGTGTTCCCTCTCTCGCTGTGTCTCTCTCTGTCAAATAAATAAAACCTTTAAAAAAAAAAAAAGAAATATTCCATTTTAAGTTGAACGTTGGTGAAGTGTTTATTTATAGACAAGTTATTGATAATGTAGTGTAAAGCAGTTAGTTTTTTGCATTTGGTTTTAGCACAATGAGAATCATGTGTGGTCTGTGTAACAGTCCGCCTGGGTTTCTAAGTGGAATGCTTCTCGTGGTCTTTATTGTCAATATTTGATTCCTGCATAGAGTAGGCGATCACCTTTTCTGTGATTAAAATGCTCCGTTTGGTACATCTGTCAGCTTTTGTTAAGGCATAGAAATTACAATCAAAGACAATTTTAGGCTCATTTAAAAAAAAGATTGGAAGAAATACAACAGAACTTACACAATTTGGCTATATTTAATTGATTTCTTTACTATCTGCTGATTTTACAGGTAGGATATGGCAAAAGAATATGACCTTTACATTTATGAGACTTCCTCTGTGAAAATGGTTTATATTTGGGGTTGTCTAATTATCTATATATTTACCTTGGGAATGTGATTACTTCACTATAATTTTAGAGGAATTGTTATACAGAGACAGTTTCATTTACCTAGTTTAGTTCATTCATTCAGCAAATAAATATTTGAGTACTAGCCAAGCTCTGTGTGGTAGGATGGGAAAAACAGATATGACCCCTCTTCCAGTCTAATGAGGGATATTGAGACACAAATTACATAATCATTTAAACAAATGCAAAGTGCAGTGGCGATGAGGACAGTGCCAAAAATGTATCCAGAGCCATGAAAGTATGTAGTAAAAAGATTTAGCCTGGTTAGGGAAGACAGGAAAAGCTTTCCTGAGACTTCATTGAGATTTTTAGAAGTCGAACTTGGCAACGGGGGGACTGGAAGAACATTCTAGACTAAGAAAACAGTATGAACAAAAGCCTTTAGGAGGATAGAGTATGGTAAGTACAAGGAACCGAAACAAGGCCAGTGTGGCTAAAGTGAAAGCACCAACGGAATATATTGCAAAATCCGATTGGGGAAGTGGGTGTGGTTGATATTCTCCAAAGACCCACCTCTCACTCCAAAGAGCCATGCTTTTGGATATTCAAGTCCTTGGATAGGTCCCCTCCTTGAATCTGGACTGACCCTGTGATTCAGTTTTGACTTACAGAATAAAGTAAAAGAGAGCTGAATGACTTTGGAGACTAGGTCATTAGAGGTCTTGCAGCTTTCACCTTAGTCTCTTATAAAGTGCACCCTGAAGAAAGTTAACTTGTCTTGTAAGAATTTGAATGCACTGAAACTACCTTGCTTTGAGGAATCCCTAGCTAGACGCGTGGGGAGACTACATGGAGAGAGGGATGCCTGACCAGCTCTCAGACATGTGAGTGAAGAAGCCATCTTGGATGCCCAGCCCAGTTGGGCCTTCAGATGGTTCCAACCCAAGCCAAATTTTTATTGTACCTGCATGGTAGATTCTAGATGATTACCATTCAGCTCAGGCAGAACAGTCCACGGAATCATGAAAGGTAGTATTAAACTGTTGTTTTAAGTCACTAAGTTTTGGGGTTATTTGTTCTGCAGCAACAGATGACCAGAACAATAAGTATTGCTCAGTCCAGGCAGGGTATTATTGGTCATGTTGAGAAATTTTGCCTTCAGCAAAGGGATGATCTGGTTGGATCTTTACTATTATTATTATTATTTTTTAAAGATTTTATTTATTTATTTGAGAGAGAGAATGAGGGAGAGAGA